AAATATTGTATATAAGCTTTTTTGATATAAGCTAAAAGAAACAGTTGAGCTCTCTGGATAAAAATGTGTTGAAATAAAAAAGTAAAAAAACAAATAAGGCAGGTCTCAGTGATAAGTGCCGTAGAAACTTATATCTACTTAAATAAATGATAAGTAATTTACTTGTCTGAATTAATACTTATCAAAAAACAATGCTGAACAAGAACTTTACTCAGATTACAAGGAAATTGGACTATGCCTAAAAAATTAAGTTGACCACATGTGGCTAGTAAATTGACCTAAGAATGATACACATATGGTGCATATAAGTGATGGAATAGCAATCCCCCTATAATTGTGAATCGGAAGACCTGACTAAACTTTAAAGCCAGATCTGCAGAGTAAATCATTAGTGACCATTAATTGTCTTGCCACATCATAAACACGAACAACTTTAGGATCCAGCTGGAGATGCAGCCGAGACCTATGCGAGGTCAAAACTGGAGTTCGATTTGTATAGAGAAGCCTCTTGGAAAACACAGTAAGGCCTACTCATTTCACTCCAAAAATGTATTGACATTTCTGAATCATTTAGTTATTATTTATGATGTAAATACCAATTTTGTTGGTCGATAGTAACTTCACCCAAGCACAAACCTGCGAGCTTTCAAAGATGGTGGAGAATACAACATTAGATAGACAGCAGAAAGATAGCCAGTCGTTGTGAAACGAGTTAGGGAAAACCTGGGTTCAAAACTAGCCGTGGGTAGAAGGATGCCAACAGGAGTATTCTCTGTCATCTCTGAAACCAATGAAGGTTGTTCACTAAACCGGGAAACGTGAGTGGCGGCTTTGGAATTCAGGGAAATCAATGAGTCCTGATGCCCTTGAATGTCCATTGGAAGAGTTGCATTGACAAGAGAATGTTCTAGATTCTTCTTACGAACACCAACACGTCGCAGCAAGCGTGCCCTAGTTAGAAGAGAATTACGAAGGTGATATCTGAGTGAAGCGATCTGGGAAAGACGAACCAAAAGTGTTTCAAGCAATTGGTGATGCTGTGAAATAAGGATATCGGGCGCGACCATGGCCTCCATGATTGATTCACCTGGAAGAAATAACCTGGGTTAGAAAGAAGATAAAAAAGAAATTCTATTCTGCATACTAAGTTAGCATAATTGAGAGCTTATGCATAATATAGTGAATATAGATTAAAAGAGCTTAATTACACATCATGGACAGGCGTTTAGTAACTAAATGTGACAAATAGTTCAAATGAAGGATGTAAGATTAAGCTTGCAGTTCAAAATGACTCCGTATATGCTGGACGAATATTGTAAATGTACAGAATATGTTGCGAGACTGACAGAATAAGATTAATAAGAACTTAAATTACATTCAGTCGAATGATTGGCCTAGTTTGAATCGCTGGCACAGAATTGATACAAGATGTGCAAGATTAGGTTCCGAATTTCGATAAGGGTGTGAAATTGAAAATGCAGTTCAGCCTGGACGAGAAAGTATTTTAGGAAGCAAGGATAGATTAGTCCTAAGGTGCTGTGAAGTCTATAATTTCATTGTTGTAAATTCAACTGGATCTGAAATAACTTCATGATGCATGGATAACTAAATCCACATGAGATATTAGGTTTACATAAAAAATTTAATAGAGCTTCAATAAACCCTCTGAGATGACTTGCATTTCATGTAAAAGTGACTAGGGGAGAGATTTAAAAGTTGATCCCAGCAGAATACGGTTGAATTTCGAAGCTCTGTAGTCATTTTATTTTACTCTTACATTCAGTCCACTAAGTGACGATCTGAGATTTCATCCGTCATATGATATACATCGTCAGAGATGGAAATTATTCATGCGGATTAATGATATCTGTACAAAGGTCCAAAATTTCGGCAACAAAAGTCGTGTTTATTTAATCATTTGCAAAAAAAACTATATAACCATTTATGCAGCTAATAATTTTCAAACAAGATTACATTAGTTTTCATTAATAAACAAGTCAACTAATGTAAGTTTACTAATGTAATTTAGAGAGAATTTGTTTGCATACAATTATATTCAAAATGTCTCAATATTTCGTTGCATATTTTTCCTTAATCAACACTTACACTCTTTCTGGCATCGATTCTACAGATTTTTTCAGAATTTGAGAGTTCCATCACTATTTTAGATAATTCCATATTGCTTTGTGATATTAACCTTTACCTTTACCCTTTAAAATATTCCCAGAGATGTCAAATAGGATTGAAATTTCGTGTCTATGAAGGGAAATTCAAGCAAGTCAGCACCCTTTGCTCTTCATTCGATTTGAAATAGGCCTGGTACAACATCGATGGATGCTTAAGATAATTATGCTGCTGGAAAATAAATCCTTTACCACATAACTTCAAGCCATAGGGGATGGAATTCCTTTGCAGAGTAGTGATTTTATTCTATTTAGTCAATATGTAGACGAGAAAGACTTAAAGTGACCACAGCATCTGGATACTAGTATATAAAGCCAATTTCATTGCAAGACCAAACAGCATTTGCATTAAAATTCCAACTGAACAAAGAACGCCCTCTCCCAGTTAGTAAATATACAAACAAAAAACGAATAAAACGCTGTAAGCTTCATGTGAGAGTAGCAGTTTCCGAGCCACTTCCTCGGCAATGCAAGTGTAAACGACTGTCATGGACCAAACAATACAAAAAGTTCACTGTTGAAGATTAAAAGATGAATCACATCTACAGGTTACAATTGCAATAAAAGCCTATGTGAGGAGACAGCCGCATGAGAGGCGATAGAAACAGTGCATAAAATGTAATAAAAAATGGTGAAATAAATATTCAGACAAGGATGTTTAACCTATTTTGGAGTTGGTCTTGCACAGGATCAACTATAAATTGGTCAAAGCGAAATTCCACTATTCTGCAGAGTCATGCCATCCCCTCTGACTTGAAGCTGCGTGGAAGAGAATCGATTCTCCAACAGGAAAATGGTCCTAAGCATACATCGAAGTTTAGTTAGGGGTATTTAATGTCGAAGGAAGGGCAAGGAGTGCTGTAATGCATGGCTTTCCGTCCAGTCATTAGACCTCAATCTTACTAAACACCTTAGGTTGATGGTGGACGCAGACTTATGGACCCTACGGTAACCCCATAAAATTATAATTAAAAAAGAATACCGCATTTACTCCATGAAGCGGGTTTCGATTAATCTGTGTTGATATTACTTATGTCCTGTGACAGGCATAGTCAGAGGAGGAAACGAAAGTTTATTAGGGAGGAAAATCCATTTTTAGCTTTATTCTATAGCCTAATCTCATAATCTGATTGGCTCTGCCAGATTCCATCTTAAAAAAGCGATGTCTCGTCAAGTGCGTCAACCGGAACGTAAAATGACAGCATAGCAATGGAAATAGAAAGTTGTGTTCTGGCAATATCGACCTTCGAATCTCTTCATCGAACACTATCATGAAAATATAAATGCTTAGGTATCTTCATAAAATCCAACAATTCTCCTGGCATAAATTGAGAGAAATAGCAAGTTAATTGAAAAACAACTTTTCAAAGAGATAAGAGGGTAAAAAAGAGGAATTATGTTGTCACATTATAAATAGTTACTCAATATTTGTGAGCTGTGTAGCATCTAAAAAAACGTAAATTAATTCAATATATATTAAAGTTACGCAAGAAAAAAAGTAGATACCCAATTGTTTTGGCCACTTATTTTTAACTGAAAGTAAAAAGGGCCCTGAGAAAGAGTTTACAGCCTCAATACACCAGTTTGTAGACATAAGAAGGAGTTCTTCGAATTCTGAATTACAAATCCCGTTGGAAACCGATGCTTTATAGGATGAAGAGGATATATATCCCTCCAAGGAAGAAAAGTCTATGGAATCAGGCAAAAGAAGTGAGCAACCAAGAAGAGCGTTGATACCTAATGAACACATTAAAAAAAGAATAAAAGGAAAATGAAGAAAGAAACAAAGAATATATTGTAAAATATTTCAAAAATCAATCACAACATTAAAAGTAAAAATATGGTAATAAAGCGTGCCATCTAAACGCCCTCCGTGTCTGAAATCCTCAACAACAGCCAGAAGACGCAGCAAAGAGGGCATTTGCAAAGGATTAGGCAAATGACTTTCTACTATTGATTGCTGAGATCGACCTCCAGCGGAGTTTGATGATTGCTTTATAGATGGTGAGCCTGCTCTTACTCTGAATCGGCTTAGAGTTGGCCCAATAAGCATGGCAATTTCACAATCAGAGGATGAGTTCAAGCCAAGTTGAAGGGAACATGTGTCAATAGGTTGATTTTCAGCAATGAAATCGTCCTAAAAATAAAGAAATATAACAATTAGTTACGAAAATAGAGTAAAGTAAACCAGCATTGTGGTAACCAAAAGCTAGTCTGCACTGTAAATGGGATCAACATAAAGGGAATAAATAACAGATAGGTCTTGGATGTCTGCTGATAAAAAAAACATCTTTATAAATGAATAATAATCAATTTAAAAAATGTACAGGTGGTTTTACAATTTTTCGAAAGGATAATACATGTAAGCATTTACTAATAACTAATTAACGAAAAATAAACCTACAAATTTAGCAAAAAAACAATCGTGAACTCCATGAACAAAAAACCTAAGGTAATAAACGGATATTATTTTTTATTGAAGATCAACAAGGCCCATGTAATATCGTCTAACATAAGATTTTGACTATATAGTTTAGAAAAACAATTCTAATAACTTCGCATATTCACGAGTAGGATATTTTCAATAATTTCGAATACCCGCATCAGATATTCTTTTACTACGTGAAATATAGAAATTAAATAATCATTTGTTTGATAAGCATTAGTCTTAGGGATCCATATTTGCAGTCGCAGCAGCCGTTAATACACTATCGTGCATCTTTGTCAAGGAAGGCTGAGCTTTAATCTTTTAAGTAAAATACATGTTCTGGATAAGACGAAATGCAGAAAGCATCAAAGAAATGCAAATTCAAAGAATAATGACAAAGTAAAAATAAAATAAACAAAACACGATATTTATTAGAGGATAATGAATACAATCACTAGTGTGGAAAAGTTTTGTGTGTTACCAGACAAGAGTAAGCTAACTTGGGGCTTAATCTCACTTTCTTAACTTGGCTAGAGAGATATAGAGAGCTTGTGGAACGAAACTAGTTCAATCAACTTTTCTAGAGTACTGATTATTTCCAGCATAGGAAAGTTAATATGTCCATGTCCGTAATTCTTAAGATTCTGATCATCAAACTCCTCATTAAAGTGGGTTGACTTCATTTTCGCAACTTGTTTCTTTGACGAGTTGTAGCTTGGTGCTGAGAATGGCAAGACTTACAGACGATACCTGCGAAACGTCAAATGTCCGAAGCTGGGAATTATGATAGCTACTATAAAAGAGGACTTTGGACAAGTAGCCCAGACAACAGGACCAAGTGGCAAAAACGAAGTCAGCCCAATTCAATACGTCGAAAGGAGACTGCGACAGATCAAGTGCTACAGCATATTGGTCTCCATAGAGACAATAATCCAATCTGTAGTTATAATAAGGCTGGAAATTGAGAATTAGTCTCACATGATTTGTCTCTTAGTAGCTTCCTTTCAAGTGTCCGATTGGGGCAATTGACCTTAAAATCTAGGAAGCATAGTCGTCATCCTCCTCTACCTCCATTAAAAATTTGATTTTTTTTCTCAGATTGGTTCATACAATGCAGGAATTCATCCAAATTTTCCTTACCATACTACCAAGGTGCAGGGTAGTCACCAAGGTATCCCATGAGCGGTGACTTCTAGAATCCCTTTTCACATTTGTTTATGAATAGATTGGCCAAAATAGTGGTCTCATAGGTGGTCCAAATATTTGCTCATAAATATTGCAGTTTAATGTAAAATATGTCGCTTTGGTTATAGGTTCCCAAACCATAAATCCTAAAGCTTAAATTCACATAGTAGAGTAGAAATGATTGATTATGGCCGAGAAAGTCAAGATTTACAGAAATAAAATATCGAACTTGATCTTTT